GGGCGATACCGAAAATTGTACTGTCTCTCCCCGACCGGATGGGGGCATCGATCTCAGCTGCATCAGCACCAATGTCTACCCGGGAGTAGTGTGTCAGTACATTGAACGCGTGAACTCCAGTATTAACAGATTAGGCCTGATGACTAGGAAAACCAGAAAGATTGTTGACCTCTCCAGGCATCTCTACGAAGACGTATGCAGCCTTGTGGTATACCCTACGAGACCAGGTGTCTATTTGTATGACTTTGCTTTTCAGCCGGATTTCCCCACTTGTATAAATTGTGTTTACAAGGTTCACAGCACAAGTGGTTCGATCACCGTAAAGCCTAAACCTGTTGTCACTGTCAGTCAGTCCACAGCTTCTCTGTGCCACAGTAAGTCTCAGGTGAAATTCACGTGTCAGGTCACCTGGATGGAGACCGCCCCTTCATTTCGTCTGTTTCTAAAGGATGAAGAACTTGAGGGGTTGACTTTTGAGAAGGTTAAATACGGGAATGACTCCAATTCATATTCAACTTTCTCGGCAAGCGTCAGTTTTGAAGTCACCAAAGAGCTCCACAGGTCTCTCATGCTCTGTCAGGTGTCTTATTTGAAAAAGGATGACACTGTGCCGGTTGAAAAAAGGAGTGTGTCTCTCTCCGACACCAAGTATCTTCTTCTGACTTGGCCCCCGCCTACTCCACCGGGTTTCTCTAGGGGGGATTTCAAGCTAAGCAAGAGTTTAGACATTAAAAAGGGCGACGACGCCACGGTTGTTTGCTCCACACAAGGCGGGGAACCCCATGTGGAGTCCATTAGTGTTGTCTGTAAGCATGGGGAAGACATCCTCCTCATTAATACTACCAGCTCCAATAAGGTCTCGGTGACAATCTACGGAAATAGCACCTTCAATAACAGCAAGTGCATATGTACTGCACAGCACCAGCTGCAGCACTGCTATAGCTCCGTCACTGAAATTCGAATAACAGTTATTCCCTTTGGCATCAGGACTATTGACTTAAAGGGGAAACTTGAAGACAAGATATATTATATAGTCGCCGGCGCAGTGTTTTTGGTTATGCTTCCAATAGTCATTTTCTTTATCTGTAAAGTTTGCAGACTTAAAGACTCTGAATATTATGGTAATTTTGACACCAATTCTTTTCGAGACAGGATTCGTACTTCCTTACGGCGTAGGGCTCCGCCCGCACCACCGCTCCCTCCGCCCCGAATCCCTCCCAGGCCGGATCTGATACTTTCTTCTCCCCCGGTGGCTGACTGCTCCACCGTACACAACTTGAGTTCGAGTTCTGAAGTCTGGGTAAATGATCCAAGTCTTGAGGTGGCTGAAGATGGGCGCGTGTTGTTCAAGAATGTTCGCAAGTTAAAAAAGACACCAAAGACTCATTCTAATTCGGGAGACGATTCTGGCTACATACCTATGTATCCTAGTAAAAACCCTAAGGCAGATCGAAATGTTGAAACTTCGTCTACGTCCGTAGCGACATCCTGTTCGACATCTTCGTCAAACTCCGGAACAGAATCTCGACTGCTTCTTCCAGGAGCGCGCAAACAGTCCTCATCTAAACCTACGCTGAATAAGGCGCCCTCAAGTGAGGACAGTTCCAACTTGGTCTCGCTTGGGTTTCAGCCTCCTACACCTCGCCCGTGTACGGCCAAGCTTAAACAAAACCACTACGTGGAGAGCCCCGCTGAATGGACTGATAAGAGGTTGACCGGTCTGTTTGAATACACCAGCTCATCCTCGGATGACGGAAGTAATGACGTCACAGACGTATAACAGGAAATGACGTTTTCTGCTAAAAAATTGTTCCTTCAATCTCATACGAAATAAAAAAATGGAAGAGAACTTTGTGCAGAAGTCGTACTATTTATAGCTGGCTATAACACGTGACTGTGCACATTTTGACGCCTATGTCATAATCCTTAGATGCATTTAGTATGTAATACATAATTAATCTGTAAAATCTTTTTATATTTGTTTCTTATGTATACAATCAGCTTTATGGGCTCATTTTGAACATGAGGCTAGAGTGCCTCGTTTCGAACATGATGCTAGAGTGCCTCGTTTTGAACATGAGGCTACACATATACGAGTATAAAATCTAGTCGCTTGCTTTTTACGATAAAACAGCTTTAAGAAATTTGACTATTTCCTTCTTCTGCAAGAGATGAATAGCATTTCTTCCCGTTGACAATGTTTGCTAGCATGTTATGTACGAATGAATTCCTTGTTCCATATGCTAGGACTAATTTGTACTAACACTCCTTCTTCCCCAATGCTTTACGAGCTTGGAATGGGTTGCCTGAGTCAGCCAGGAATATCAATGACTTGGCAGAGTTTAAGTCATTGATTAACATGCATGACTAGATTGACCTAAAAACACGATTAGGACGTTATCAACGTCTGTATTTTATAAGATAAAATAATACAGTAGTGCCAGTGGGCTTCCATGGGCTAAATACGGTCTTAGCTTTATTTGTTACAGCTATTTCAAGGATCCCTACAATTTTGTTTACCTGCCCACTGGAAAAAGGTTTTATAAACCACATATTCATTAGTTCAGCTTCATTTTGTTTAAAGTAAGAATGTCCTGCACAAAACAATTAGGTTAAGATGTAATAATTATAATAGCTTTTATATTGTGCTATTTTCATGCTTATAGCATGCCCAGAACGCAATGGTCTAATCTCATTTGTGGACCAGTGGGGCGAGGGGGATTCTGGGAGAAAATGCTGCCTTTGGTATCGAGTGTCGGTCCTCGAGCCCCCTTCATAGGTAGCCAAGCCCAGCGTACTTAGCCTCTCGACCACGCTTCCCACTGATTCATTGAACATTATCATACTCAGAATCAAATTCATAAATAACAAGTTTTTTGGTGCTTCCGGTGTACAAAATAAAAGCATTTTTCATAAGCTATGATAACTTGTGTGCACTTATGAGCACTACAGAATCAAGTTTTCTGAGCACTTCCTGTTGTACTTTAATTTTAGTTCTCAGCATTGAAGTTGAATCTAGCGTCCTTGACATTGTTAGGTTTATCATGAAAATCTCTCAATTTAATGTAGTAGATAATCTCGAAACCAAATAGATTTGAATAGAACAGAAACGTGTGACGTGATAGGAAGTGACATAATAGTTGTCTGTAAAGAAGATAAAAATTTGGCGCTAAATGCATGGCGTATTGCCCCTTCTGAGAAAGTTGTTTGATAGAAGAGCCCTTTACTACATATTAGAAGTAGATGTTTAAATTCAAAGTTAAACGCATTGATACTAAATCATCATACAACTACTAGTATTTGTTCATGTTTCCTTTATTTGTTATCAAATGCAAGACATTTTTTTAAATTGCTTCTTTCAGTTATGTTACTGATTTTTTTTTATTCATATTTATGAAACCGATTTGAGATCTATATCTAAAAGTATTTATTGACCAGTAAACATTACATCTATATTATAATGTCGGCTACATCGTAATTAAAGAAATATTTACTATAACTCTTAATGCTGTTGCTATATAGGATGCAGAGCAGAAAATAAGCTTGAGCAGATACTACTGTGACCAAGTCGATGGTTTTAGTGTATATTTTAAGGGGTCGTCAGAAATGAGGTCATTTGGCGTCTCATAAGCATGTTACAATGGTTCAAATAATAGAGATGCCTTGAAATGCTCATGTTCGGGGCTTCAGCATAATTAATTCATGATTAATGTATACACAATTATTAATAGATTCTCTGAAACTTTTTTTTTTGGCTACATTAATTGTCGTAGAAAACAAACAAAAAAATGTTGAGACAACAGATAAAATCTTCTGTGCCTTTCCGCGCTTGGGGCGTCAAATTGTCACCACAGTACACAGAGAATGGTCATCAGCGACGCCCTCAGACTTTTCCCATCGAGTGTCCATTATTTGATTAGGATCTTCAATGAGGATGTTGTGCGGGGGGCGGCCATGTTTTAGTTTCCCTCGTTTTAGGCTACCAAGTTACTGCTGTCTTTAGGGAAATATCTCATCGCGTCTTGGGACACGTCCTAAACCATAGAAGCGCCAGTTACAGTACTTCAAAATTATCACCCCCAAATCTTTCTAGCGCCTTTACTTTAAGAATGAAAACCAAAAGAGATAACTATCATATGGTCATTGTTCCTTCATAAGTTCAGGTGTATTTTTGTATTACAATTGTTAAATTCTAGTTCGCTCTTTCAATTAGTCGTAAATAATTGTCATTTATTTTTTCATGTGCTGTGTTTATAATTGAAATTAATACCACCTATAATTGTATCATGCTCTGTGTCACTGACACAGCAAGGACAAAGGGGCTTAATCTACCTCTTAGCTAATGACATCATGGGGGAGGGGAGTTATGTATTCATGTGGTTTAGAATAAATTTGTGTAAATAGAACTAAGAGTTGATTAAGTCCCTTTGTTCTGTTTTTACTCTAGTATATTGTCTTGTATGGACCTAAATGAATAATATCGGGCTGGTTCCTGATGTTCCCTTACCCTCTCCGCTTACCTCCCCTCCCTTAAAGACCGGATTTTTTTGGCGCAAGGTTGACTACAAAACGGCGACACAGAGCTTTGTGTTAATACTTCAGCATCACTGTATTGGGAACTAATTTAACAACAGAGCCGGACTTAAGTAATAGGAGGCCCTATGCAAAGAGAATATGGAGGCCCTAGGCGAAAGGAATAGGGTGGCTCAAAATGAAAGGAAGAAAAAAAAATCTTCTAACTAAGATCTAAACATTCGTAAATAAACATTGAATCATGGTAGAGAGTTAGATCTACACTACTAGTAGATCCATAGAGTTTTGCTATGTTTGAGATTTGACCCATGTTTTACTATTTCTTCTCTTAAAAAAACACACAAAAAAAAACATTGTTTTTTAGTCCTGTGCGAGGCCCTCACCAATCGGAGACCCTAGGCAGCTGCCTAGTTTGCCTATACCTAAGGCCGGCCCTGTTAACGATAAGAGAGATGTGTCATTTCCCCCCCCCCTCCCTTTATTTCAATAAGTCGCCTTCTTTAATGCATTATATATCCTACACATTTCCTTTCCTCAAATCAATCTGTGGGAGTTGTGGTTGACGCTGTGGTTTCTCTTTTTCATACACTTAAGGCACTTACGCTATTTTAATTTCTTTTATAATTTGATTCCTATGTAAAATGTGTAATTAGACTGTGATCGTATCATTGTGTAATAACTCAAAGTGTAATTATGTAATAAGACTTTGCTATGTTGAATTGCATTGTTTTGATGTCATGAACTATATAAATATAAATCTTGTAATATATAGATATGAAAAATATAAAGTTGACTCTTAACAAAGAACACAAACAATGATTTCTTTTTATTTGTTTTGTAACCCAAGCCTGCATTAATTTTTGATACGTACGTGGATCTGTTTCTCAGCTTGTATTACTAGCTCGATGGCTGAGCGGTAAAGCGCTTGACTTCCGAACCGGGGACGGGGTTCGAATCCTGGTGAAGACTGGGATTTTTAATTTCGGGATCTTCGGGCGCCTCTGAGTCCACTCAGCTCTAATGGGTACCTGACATTAGTTAGGGAAAAGTAAAGACGGTTGGTCGGTGTGCTGGCCACATGACACCCTTGTTAACCGTAGGCCACAGAAACAGATGACCTTTACATCATCTGCCCTATAGACCACAAGGTCTGAAAGGGGAACTTTACTTTTTTTATCAATAGCTGTTTCACTAGTTTCACTAGTTCTCAGCCTGTATCACTAGTTCTCTGCCTTTATCGCTAGTTCTCAGCCTGTATCTTTAGTTCTCTGCATGTATCACTAGTTCTCAGCTTTTATCACTAGTTCTCAGCCTCTATCACTAGTTCTCAGCCTGTATCACTAGTTCTTAGCCTGTATCGCTAGTTCTCAGCCTTTATCACTAGTGATTAACTCACTCTTCTCAGTAATAATTAGGTGCACTCATCGGAACGCTCGCTCTTTATCCATCACTCTCTTTTTGTCTCTCTCTCTCTTTCTCTCTCCCTTTTCTCACTCTCATCTTCCTGCCCCATCAACCTCTTTCACTACTACTTTCTCTCTCTTTCTCCATCTATGTCTCTGAGGCATTACGCCAGAAGGCCCAGTTTCTTGCCAGAGCACAATTGGTCTGTTCCCAATCGGAGTTCATCTCAAGTGCTAGGATACTGACACTATCAAAGCACTACACACCAGCCAATCAACCAACCACAGCTAACCAACCAACAATCATCCAACAAAACAAGCAACTACAACCAACCTACCAATCATCCATTCAACCACAACCAACCAACCACATCTAACCAGCTAACCATTTAACAAAACAATTATCCATCTAGTTAACCAACCACAACCACCCAAACATCAACAACCATCCATCAATCTAAACAACCCCAACCACCCTATCAAACAACCACAACCAACATATCAGCCAACCAACCACCCATACAGCCAACCAACAAGAACCAGCTATTCATCCAACCACAACCAATCATAAAATAATATATATCTAGTCAACCAAGCACAACAAACATAGAATAGCCAACCATCACATCCATCCAACCAACCAACCACAACTAACCAGCCAACCATTTAACAAAACAATTATCCATCTAGCCAACCAACATATCAACCAACCCTCACCATCCATCAAACCAACCAACCATTCAAACAACCCCAACCAACATATTAAGCAACTTACCAACAGTCACCAACCAGCTAACCATTACCAACTATCGATCTATCCAGCCAATCAACAACAACCAACCACAACTATACAGCCATCACCAATCATCCATCCAACCATTCACAACCAACCTACCAAACAACTACAACCAACATATCAGCCAACCACCCATCCATACAGCTAACCACAACCAACCTACCAACAATCACAACCATCCAACTAACCACCCAACTAACCACAGCCATCAATCATACCAACCAGCCAACCAACCTCATGCAACCATCAAATAAGTTAAAGAACCAACTAACCATCCATCCCATATCAAGATTTTGGTAATAGTTTCTAGTAATAGCAATAGTTTCTATAATTAACTATATAATTTTGTTTAGCACATATGCAGTTGCTTTTTGTAAGCAAAATGTGACCAAAAAAATTCTTAAAATACTACAAGTTGGCAACACCACTGTAAATCATGAAAAAACAAAATGGCAGCGCACAAATCATATTGAAGTCGCTAAGGCCCTTTATTGATGTATAGTCAAAATATAAAGGTTACTTTTTACAACCAAATTTATTAAAAACACTATTTACATCTATTAAATGAATTTAATTTTATTTTGGCTAATTATCGGCATTTTGTGAACTCGGAACGCTAATCTACAGGATTTCTTTTTTTTTTTTGTAGAAAAAATAGGTGCCAGTACTCAGTGATGGATTACCTAACTTTTAACTACTAATATATTAATAATAAACGTTAAAATACAAGAAAAGTAATATCGTCCCTTCACATCGAAAAAGGTGCCGGTACGCTATACCGGTGCGTACCATCACAAAAAAAGCACTGTTTAAAAGCATGCTATATTTAAGAAAAAAGAAATACAATTTCGACAATTTAATCACACTTTCCTTTAGAAAAAAATATTTGTAAGCATTTTTTAGTTTTAATATTGTTGAGTTCGTGGAGAGTATGGCCCTTGGTAAGACGCACTGTCGTAAACCTTGAGCTGTATTTACTTATTCCGATCATGCTACAATAACATGCTACAAGAGTGCACTTTTTAGTTTTTCACTGAGAGCATTCAAATGTTTAAAAAAAAAACAACAAAGTTTCTGACTCTTCAAACAAAAAAAAACCTGATACATTTTTATTTCTTTTATTTGTGAAAGCCAAATTTTTTTGGGGTATAAGGTATAATTGATGAACTTTATATGTGTATGGTAGTGTCTTTTTTTTAAAAAGGGCAAAGTCTTTTTTTTTTTGGGAAGCATTGCGCATTATTAGAATCATTAGATCTGCTCAGAAATATATTACTCTGACTTCTGTATAGTAGATCTCCTCTTTTTAACACACTCTCAAAAAGGTATATGTCTATATAACACTCTGTCAACAATCTGTGTCTAAACAGTGCGCTTTTCCAACAGAAGGACACACTCTCTTAATAATTTATGTTTAAATAGCACTGTCTTTTTCTGTGTATATAACATACAAGTTCCCATTTCAGACCTTGCGATCTATTGGGCAAAGTCATCTGTTTCTTTGGTCAACGGTCAGAGAGCAGGGTGTCATGTGACCAGCACAATGACAATTACAATTTAAAGAGAGAGTGTGTACTACTGACATGCTTGCTCGAATGGGTCTTCTCATCATCTATACAACCCTCAGACAACGCCGCCTGCGCTGGCTTGGTCATGTCATGTCTCAAACCTTCAGAGTATGAGATTAATCTCAAAGTAGATAATTAAGCAATTTGTAATGGTGTGTACTTACGCGGAAGTTGAGATGATTAATACACACTGTGAGTCATGACCTTGGCCGAGATTGTCCTTCCAAGATGTCGTATACCGAGGACGCTGGAAAGTTTGCCAATTTTTAAAAAACTTGGATACAAAAAAATTATTTGGTGAAAAGTCTAACCGCTTGATACGCATGATACGCTCATGCGGATGGCGTATTATCGAGAAAAAGAAAATGCTAGTCTAGCGAAGAGATAAGCGAGCTGCGGGCCATATCGAGGCCAATCCTAACAGTAGGTCAAGTGGCGTAGCTATGGCGAAAGATGGGGGAAGAATTAGAAAATTCCCACAGGGGCCCTCACTTGAAGTTTGCTCCCAAATGAATGTTTGAATTATTTATTTTTTTTACATTTAATATTAAATATTATCTCATGTCATGATGTAGAATGTTAAAATGTAGGAGCCCCTAAAGAGCCAAGCCCGCCGGGCCACCCAAAAGCCTTGCTACGCCACTAAGTAGGTCTCAACACTGATTATCTTATCTTATATAATACAGACGTTACTTCAAAAAAGAGGATGATTACGACCTACGCGTCATGCATTTAGTCATGCATATTAACCAATGACTTAAATTCTGCCAAGTCACTGGTTTTCCTGGCTAGCTCAGGCAACCCATTCCATGCTCTAATAGCACTAGGGAAGAAGGAGTATTTGTACAAATTTGTCCTAGCATATGGGACGAGGAATGTGCCTTTATCTTTGTATCTTTCAGAGTATTTTATTAAATTTTGTTTTTGTATTTGAAGATTATGGTTCAGTGTTTTATGTATAATTGCTACTTTACTTTTGAGTCTTCTGTCCTGAAGGCTTTCTAAATTTAGTGATTTTACTATAGGTGTTGCTCTAGTCAAATGTGAATATTCATTTGTTATGAATCTCACTGCTCTATTTTGTGTCTGTTCCAGTTTCTTAATGTTTTCTTGAGTTGAGGGGTGGTCCCAAATGGAGGATGAATATTCTATTATTGGCCTAACCAAGGTTAAATAACATTTTAGTTTATGTTCTTATTTGTTTATAGAAATTTCTTTTAATAAATCCTAATGCTTTGTTTGATTTTTTTATAGTTTCATCAATATGTGGATTCCATGACAGTTTTTCATTTATTATAACACCTAGGTATTTTGCGTCTTTAGTCTGTGTTACTGGTTTGCCATGAATAAGTTAAGTGGAATTAATTTGTTTTAGTTTTTTTGTTACTCTTAACAACTGACATTTTTCTGGGTGGAAATCATGCTCCAATTTGATTCCCATTTCTGTAATTCATCTAATTCTCTTTGTAAAATATCTGTGTCTTGTGTTGTTTTTATTGTTCTATACATTATGCAATCGTCTGCAAATAATCTGACTTTTGTTCCTGAAGTAATGCAATTGGTAAATCATTTATGTAAATTAAAAATAGTAGTGGACCCAAGACTGTTCCTTGAGGTACACCTGAGTTTACTGTTATCTGTGTTGATTTAGAGCCATTTATTATTACAGTTTGTTCTCTCCCTATCAGAAAATCTTTAATCCACTGATGCAGTGGACCATTAATGCCAAAATTTTAATTACAAAAATATTTTAATTTTTTAAGCAAACTATGGTGGTGAACTTTGTCAAAAGCCTTAGAAAAATCTAGTAAGATAGCATCTATTTGTTCACTATTATATAAACCTTTAGAAAAATCATCAATTAGTCCTATTAGTTGTGTTTCACATGATCTATATTTCCTAAAGCCATGTTGGTATGGTGTGAGGACATTTTGTTTGTCTAAGTGGTTTATGATGTTGCTCCATATTATGTGTTCTAGGATTTTACATGTGATGCTGGTAAGTGATACTGGTATGTAGTTTCCTGGGTCAGATTTTTCTCCTTTTTTAA